TTCATTAAATCTCTTGTAACTTTTGAACCGTTTGTCTAAACTAAATAAAATATTTAACAAATTTGTTTAAAATTGAAGGATCTACAATATTTTCTAATATTATATTGCTCTACAGCAACTCGGTGTACTTTAAAATTAAATTAAAAGTAACCATTACAGTGCGTGAGTAATTTTGATCTGTGATGATGAGTATCAATTAATGTGCATGTATTTATTAAATCTCTTGTAACTTTTAAACCGTTTGATAAAAATAAATAAAATATTTGACAAATTTGTTTAAAATTAAATAATCTACAATATTTTCTAATATTATATTGTCCTACAGCAACTCGGTATACCCAAAAATTGCATCCAAAATTAAAAAATATTTTCAAGCTAAAATATACATTTTTGAACACCAATTGGTTAATTTCTGAGCTACTAATTACATTAAATAGTAAATTTAAATTATTTTACTATATACAGTGCATTGGGCATAACTTTTCACCCTTTATCCTGTTTTTTTTATTTATTTACGGTAACTTTCACCCAATTATCGATCGTCTCTATTTTTTCCCCAAATTGGTATTTTGGCCATAAATCGCCAAATGGGGCAAAGTTATTGCTTTTGTTTCGAAATGATGATGACGAAGGGATGAAGGGATGAAGGGATGGCAGGGTCAGTGTTTGATGGTCAGTTATTTGTTATGAAATAGGGGAAGGTCCAAAAGGTCCCTTTGGAAAGGGAACACTTGGGGGTGCTTTTTAGGGGTGCTGGTGGATATTAGACGAGGCACCAAGAGGTTAGTTATTTATTCAGGGTTATTAGTCAGTAAGGTGGATGTGATCAATGATCTTAGGGAAGAAATGCAAACAGTATAATAGACGATTTTCCAGAGCATTTTGCAAGACGGTACTTTATTCAGATAGAAGCAGATATTTTATACTTTTTGTTAGCAAACTATATTGTTTAGTATTTTTTATATTTAGTACACATATTTAGTAATAACATACTAAAATTACGAAGCTGTAGTACAAACGGTGCGTTCTGAAGAGCTCACTGAATAGTAACATTATATTTGCAAGAACATTTTGCAATATGTACTTTATTCAAGTGAATGCGAATATTTCATACTTTCTGTTAAAAAACTATATTGTTTAGTATTTTTTGTATTTAGTACACACATTTAGTAACAACATACTGAAATTACAAGATTGTAGTACAAACGGTACGTCCTGAAGAGCTCACTGAATAGTGACATTATATTTAAAAGAACATTTTGCAATACGTACTTTATTCAACTGGATGCAAATATTTCGTACTATTTGCTAAAAAACTATATTGTTTAGTATTTTTTAAAAAAGTATATATATTTAGTAATAACATACTGAAATTACAAAGTTGTAGTACACACGGTGCGTCCTGGAGAGCTCACTGAATAGTAACATTCTACTATCAAAAACACTTCACCATACGTACTTTGTTCAAATGGGTTGCAAATATTTCGTACTTTTTGCTAGAGAACTATATAGTTTAGTATTTTTTAAAATTAGTATATTATTAGTTATAAAATTAGTATATATTTAGTAACAACATACTAAAATTTCAAGATTGTAATACAAACAGTGCGTCCTAAACATCAAGACATATTTCTGATACCTATTTTAGCTTAAATGTATTGTTTTAAAAAATTTACTGTAACTTTAGAACCATTACATTAATTTGAATGATCTATGAAGCAAATTTATTGCAAATTAAATTATCTACAACTTTTTCTAACACCAAAATTCTCTATAGCAATCAAATATATTTTAAAATTAATATTAAATATTAAAATGTAATTATGATACCATGTGTTTTTGCATCAGTGCAAAAAAGTTACTATAACTTTGAAACTATTGGAGTAATTTGTATAAAAAACAAGGCAAATTTATTTAAAACTCAACAATCTACAACTTTTTCTAACAACAATATGCTCTACAGCAACTCGGTATACTTTAAAATCGTTATTGAAAATGGTAAATATAATCTTGTTACAAAAAATCAATTATAAAAAAATCATTCCAAAGGCGTATGTTTTTTTAAACAGACGGACAGCAATTAATTTTAGAATAAAATAATACAAATAAAATAAAATAATATAAAAAATCTTTTTTGACTTTTATTGTACGAGTTAATTTTGAAGATTTTATGTCGTAATAAATTTTATAAGTGATTTTAAAATTTACGATTTGTGACCATTGATAGACATCTTTTGTGATAAAATCTTTTTTTAAATATACATATACATACATACACACATACATACATATACATATATGTATATGTATATATATATATATACATATATATAATATTTGAAAATTTTATTACACTACATTTTGCACTTTGGAAATTATTGTTAAAATTGTTCGATGACGCAGTGCATTTTCGTAGTATTTTACAAATATTTCAAAAATTATACAGTTTATCTAAAAAGTGTTTTAGTAAAAGTTGTAGCTAATAACATTTGCAATAATTTTGTCTATAACAACTAATTCATAAAGTTATTAGTTTAAAAAATATACAAATTCAAAATCACCATAAAAGTTTCCTTTAACTCTGGAGCATTATGCGCTAATTAGATACGAATGCGCAGTGCATTTCTGTAGTTTTTCATATATAAAAATATTTAAAAAACTATAAAATTTATATCAAATATATATTAGGCAAAGTTGTAAGTGATAAAATTTACTAAAATTTTGTCTTTAACAAGTTTTTCACAACGTGCTTAGTTTGCAAGATATAAATTTTTGAAGTCACGCCTAAAAGGGTAAAGAGAATTTGGTGCGTTTTTTTTGCTCAGTTTTTTTGCAAATATAGTATATATAAAAACTATATGAGGTATCTAAAAGGTGTCTTAGTAAAAGTTGTAGCTAACAGAATTTACAACAATTTTGTCTTCAGTAACTTTCACATAAAGTCCTTAGTTTAAAAGATACACAAAATCATGCACCTAAAATTTTATCAAGATTTATAAAAAATGGTAAAAACATAACTTTGTTTTTATATTTTTTTATATATTTTAGTCAGAATTTTTTGTGTGTTGTGAATAATGTATATGTGTTTCTATTCTTCTTCTTTCGGTACGTAAACGTATAAAACAAAACCCTCTTTATTTTACTTTATGAGGGTTGAAAATACCTGATGCTATTCCGGGTTACAACACATAAATCTTTTTCAACCCCCGATGTCCAAATATTTACTCTCTGGATATAAACATACATATAAATATATACATAAAAACATATATACATACATATATATACATACATACATAATATATATATATATATATATACAGGGGCGGCTTAAAACCTTATAAGCCCCAACAAAACCCCGAAAAATATTTCTATACAAATCCAACATCAGTAAAGTTTTTTAAATTAAAAAAAAAAATTGTGTAGAGTTTTGTTTTATGAATATATTGTTATGTAGTATTGGAGCTAAATAATTATTAGTTTTATAAACAAATATAAATTGAATAAATAATACTATATATATATATATATATATATAATATATATAGTATATTGAAACTTATGAAAGTTGATTATATTGGGTTCTTAGTGAAAGAGTTGAAACAGCAAATCAAGAGTATAACAATTCGATGGCAAATTAAAAATGTTATGTAAAGGGCTTTTTGAATTTCTAAAATATCTCAAGAGGTTCTCGATATATTGCATTTTTAAACATTTCGATTTCGCAGGATCCATATTGATTTTTACAACTTATAAAATTTGCAAAGTGTAAAAATGCAAATTTATAAAAACTATTGCAGATATTTTGATGATTCAAAAAGTTGTTCTAGAAGCATTTTTAATTTGCCATCGAATAGTAATACTCTCGATTTTCAATAATTCATCAAGAATATACTTTCTACATATATAAATTTCAAGGATCTGATGAAATAGGTAACAATGCAAGTCGATGCAAGTATCTTCATAGTTAATTAATATATTTTTAAGGTTATTTTCCATTACCGATTGTGTTATTTGATGCTTTCTATATGAGTATGCAAATTAGTGTTGCATTCTCAGTGAACGAGTTAAAGCAGCAAATCGTGATTATCATAGTTCGATAGCAAATTAAAAATGTTATATAAAGGACTTTTTGAATTTCTAAAATATCTCAAACCGTTCTCGAGATATTGCATTTTTAAACATTTCGATTTCGCAGGATCCATATTGATTTTTTGCAACTTATAAAATTGGCAAAGTGTAAAAATGCAATTTTGTAAAAACTATTGCAGATATTTTGATGATTCAAAAAGTTGTTCTAGAAGCATTTTTAATTTGCCATCGAATAGTAATACTCTCGATTTCCAACTTTCACACCTTTACTAAGAATATATTATAAATATATTCACTTTAAGCTTTGGGTAAAAACAAAGATACAAATATAAGTCAACAGTATATATAAAAATATTTATAATACGTTTTGACAAATTAATTTATAGCTGTACAATATATTATTTATCGTTTTCTATATGAGTATGCAAATTAATGTAGCATTCTCAGTGAACGAGTTAAAACAACAAATCCTGATTATCACAGTTCGATGGCAATTTAAAAATCTTATATAAACCACTTTTTGAATTACTAAAATATTCCTAAAGGTTCCCGAGATATACCAATTTCGGGTTTTGAAATTTTTTAATCGAAATTTTGAATCAAATACAAGAAAAAAATTGGGAATATTCGGTCGTTTTAAAAATTTTGTACAAGGCGTGATTGCTAAGGTAGAAAAGTTTAAATAATGGATAGTGTATTTTAATATGTATACTATGCAAGTAAATTTTTAAATTTCAATAGTTATCTTGATATGATAAATTACCTAAGATTATCTGAACAAAGTACATAATTTCTCAACGTTATGAGTAAGCAAAATTATACTTCAGTAAGAAATTCGTAATGGAAGTATACCAAACATATATATATATATATATATATATATATATAAATTAACAAAATTTACTTACAAATTCTTCCAAATCGTTTCAATTTCATTTTTCTGCCTTCTTCAGCCAAAAAGATCCCCAAAGACACATCACTTAATAAAAACTTTTATAATTATTAACTACTCATTTTTTTAAATTATTTAATTCACTCAAAAATATAAATCACCCCAGGAACACCTAAAAAAAAATAAAACAAATATTAATATTTATATTAATATTTATTGAAATATTTATTTGACTAAACAAAATTAATTTGGAAAAATATTTGAAATTTAATTGTATGTCTAAAAATAACATTATGTTCAATAATGAGTTAATTATTTGAAAAAGTTAATTTAATGAAATTTTAAAACACTTATAATTATAATTATTAACTACCTTACTACCTACCTACCTAAAAAAAAAATTAAAAGTACTATAATATAATTTATGAATTTATTATTATGAATTAATTTATGAATGTACTACACATTTGAGGCATTTTTGAAGTTGAATATTTTGTTTCCCCAAGCTCTCTTTCTATCTATACAAATAGATTGAATAAATAAATAAATAATTATTCTACTAAACAGAATCAGATTGGGACTTAGAAGAATCATTTATCATCTCAAGAGCATTTGTTTTTTTTTTGAAATTTATTTTAAAGTTTTAATTATGTGCCTACATAGATTAAAAATTACATATATGAAATGCTGGAAGATATTTTAAAACGTTTTTTGGAATTAAATAATAAATTGGATAAAAATGACACTTTTTAGTATAATGTTATATTTTATTTCATTCTTTAGCAATAAATTGAAAACTCGGGAGATTTTTTTTTTTGGTTTTTGTCAAATAACTCAAAAATTTCATATGGAACCATCCCTTTTCAATTAGATAGGGTGAAACTAAATAAAATTTACAACATTTCCTCAGGAACACTTTTATATTACATAATTTTTTATTACATTTACGATTTTTCTACTAACTTGTAGTCTATGATTAGTTCTTGGTGAACAATTTGTTTGCACTGTCTGAACAAAAAGGTAAAATTTCAGGCAATTTGAGAAATGAAAAAATGATAAATTGAAAATAGAATTTTGGCAAGTCATCGTTTTAGTTTGCTCTTTACTGACCCGACAAAAATTATATATATATATATATATATATATATATCTACTTACGTATATATATATATTATAAATATATATATATATATATATATATATTATTACAGATAAAAATACGAAAAAACTTGTACAAACAAAGTTCATTAGTTTCAGTATTGAACAAGATCTAAAACCTGAGAAAAAATCGTAGAAAAATACGGTTTATGATAAAGTATAGTAAAATTTATCTTGATCAAGTCCTTCTAATTCCAAAACCTTCTATCTTTAACCCAAAAATAATCAATTTTAACAACAAGCAAAAACTAAAAAAATGGAACCAATCGTTAGTTCAATAGTTTCGAAGTTCAAAGTTTGAGGATTTTTTTGTATTTAACTTTGTTCTAAATGTTAATAACAAATTTATACAGGTTTATATTAAATTTTATTACCATTTTAACAATATATAATAATGATAATATGCCTAAACAATTTTTAATAATAAAATGCTAATAAAAATGTACCTCCACGGTAATATGCTAAGATCAGTTTTGAAATTTCAAGTTTAGCAATATTTTTGTTAATAAGTTTGTTCTAAATATTATTAACAAATTACTAGTGATTTAGAGTAAATTTTATTAGCTTTCTAACTATATAAAACACTAAAAATATTTTGGAACAAACTTTAACAACAACAAGCAAAAACGTGTAACTAATTCAAAACCTAATTGTTTGAAACCAAAAAGTTTAATGATTTTTTTGTATCTAAATTTATTCTAAATGTTAATAACAAATTTATACACATTTTTAGTAAATTTTATTAGTTTTCTAATGATATATAACAATAAAAATCCGTACTAACAAATTTTAACAATAAGAAAAAAATGTAACCTATTCAAAACCTAATTGTTTAAATCCTAAAAGTTTAATGTTTTTTTTTGTATTTAACTTTGTTCTAAATGTTATTAACAAATTTATATGGATTTATAGTAAATTTTATCAGCTTTCTAACGATATATAATAATAATAATATGCCTGAACAAATTTTAATAATAAAATCCCAATAAAAATGTACTTCCGCGATAATATGCTAGGATCAATTGAGAAATTTAAGGTTTACCAATATTTTTGTTAATTATTTTGTTCTAAATGTTATCAACAAATTGACACAGATTTATAGTAAATTTTATTAGCTTTCTAAATATATAAAACACTAAAAATATTTTGGAACAAACTTTAACAACCAAAATTTGTTTGAAACCAAAAAGTTTAATGATTTTTTTTGTATCGAAATTTATTCTAAATGTTAATAACAAATTGATACAGATTTATAGTAAATTTTATTGCCTTTCTAACGACATATAACCCTAAAAAATACGTTCGAACAAATTTTAACAACAAGCCAAAACTAAAAAAATGTAACCAATTCAAAACCTAATCGTTTAAAAACCAAAAAGTTTAATGATTTTTTGTATCTAAATTTATTCTAAATGTTAATAACAAATTTATAGGAGTTTATAGTAAATTTTATTACTTTTCTAACGATATAAAAATACGTTCGAACAAATTTTAACAATAAGAAGCAAAAGTTTAAAAAAATATAACCAATTGTTAGTTTAATAGTTTCAAAATTTAAAGTTCAATAATTTTTTTATATTCAACTTTGTTCTAAATGTTATTAACAAATTGATACAGATTTATAGTAAATTCTATTACCTTTCTAACGACATATAACACTAAAAACATCTTCGAACAAATTTTACCACTATTAAGCAAAATCTAAAAAAAAATCTACCCAAAATTTACACCTGACGCCCTCGACTTACAAAGACTGACTAAATTTAAATCTAGTGCACCCTCGAATTAGCAATAGCAACTGCAAATTATTCTCATCCCTTTCTTACTTACAATAAACTATTCTGGTAGGAAAGAGACAAATTATAAACTTTGCCAAAAATTGCATTGAGACATGTGATGACTTCGATGACCATATTTGGGCATAAAAATGGTCAGGTGTGATGACTCATAGAATTGCATAATTTTTCGAAAAACTAGAAGTGTATAATAGAAATTTATATTATAGTAGTAATAAAATGTATATTAATTTTTTTTCAGAGTAAATCAAATTTTGTTCTACTAAATTTGGAAATTTGCACGAGATTTTTATGAGTCAATTTTCCTAAGATTCATTTTTAATAGCATATTAATTTCAAAAATAAATATATTTATTGTAGATAATATAGATAATATATATATATATATATATATATATATATATATATATATATTATAGATAATACAGATATTATCCTAAGATTTGTATAAATTTTTATTAAAACTTGCTTTACCATTTAGATTCAATTTTAATTTATAGTCTAGAGATATCAAGATTAGATCTTTTATTTTTCGAAAAGTCTTAATCAACAGCATTCGATTTATCTTGATGTAGCAGCCAATAAAAATAACACTTATTAATTTTTATCTTAGTTAAAGATCAGAACTGGTAGTAATTAAAGTTTTATATGGTAATTAATTAAACTGAAGAGATAAGATGCATTTTTGGGAACATTTATTTCTTATTTAGTTCATAAATTTATTTGTTTATATGAGGTAAAAGAGAAGTTTGTTTAAAATTAAATTATTTTTAGTATCTCTAACAATATAATGCTCTACAGCAACTGGGTATACTTTAAAATTGCTTTTAAAGTCCAAAAATGCTAAATATAAATAAATGTACCAGTACGAAAACATACCAAGTTTGGTTTGGTTTTGAATTTTAGAGTTTAATGGTTTTTTTCTATTTAATTTTGTTCTAATTGTTATTAACAAATTTATATGTATTTTCTTAGCTTTCTGGCGATAAATAACACTAAATTCAGACGATAATGATTTTTTTCTATTTAACTTTGTTCTAAATGATATCAACCAATTTATACAGATTTATAGTAGATTTTATTACCTTTTTAACGATATATAATAATAATAATATGCTTTAACAAATTTTAATAATAAAATGCCAATAAAAATGTACCCCCGCGATAATATGATAAGATCAGTTTTGAAATTTCAAGTTTAGAAATATTTTTGTTAAGTTTGTTCTAAATGTTATTAACAAATTGATACAGTTTTATATATAGTAAATTTTATTAGATTTCTAATGACATATAACGTTAAAAATACGTACTAATAAATTTTAACAACAAGCAAAAACTAAAAAAATGTAACCAATTCAACAGCTAATTGTTTAAAACCAAAAAGTTTAATGATTTTTTTGTATCGAAATTTATTCTAAATGTTATTAACAAATTTATATGGGTTTATAGTAAATTTTATTACCTTACTCGGTATACTTTAAAATTGCTTTTAAAGTCCAAAAATGCTAAAAGTGCATATATGTTTTATAAAATCAATAACTCTCAAACCATTCGATAAGTATGGATGATGTGTTAGACAAATTTGTTTAAAATTAAATAACCTTTTAACTTTTTTAACAATACAAGGTTCTCAAACACTCAGTATACTCTTAAATTAAAATTAAAATTCACATTAATAAATTCGATACAAGGCGTCGCTTGTATGGTAATTAATTAAACTGAAGAGTGATGTTCATTTTGGGAACATTTTTTTCTTATTGTTTTCTTTTGTTCATAAAAGTTGAAATATTTGATTAATTAAAAGAGGTAAAAGACAAGTTTGTTTAAAATTAAATTATTTTTAGTATCTTCTAACAATATAATGCTCTACAGCAAACTCGGTATACTAAAAATTGATTTCAAAGTCAAAAATTCTAAATATGATAAATGTACCAGTACGAAAACATACCAAGTTTGGTTTTGAATTTTAGAGTTTAATGATTATTTTCTATTTAACTTTGTTCTAATTGTTATTAACAAATTTATATGTATTTTCTTAGCTTTCTGGCGATAAATAACACTAAATTCAGACGATAATGATTTTTTTCTATTTAACTTTGTTCTAAATGATATCAACAAATTTATACAGATTTATAGTAAATTTTATTACCTTTTTAACGATATATAATAATGATAATATGCCTG